GGAACTACTCCAGTCAGAAGATGGGGCTTAGATTTCCCTTCTTCCCTAGGGAGACAAAGCAGCTGGAATTGCTGAGTTTCTTCCCTGTGGACAGAGCTCTGTGCTGCCATGTGAACTGCCCTCTTCAACATGTAGAGCCTCCCCTGCTTTTTGGTGAGGTTTGCCCCTCAGTTCTCTCCTTTCTCTACATTCATATATCCTCTGAACATGGCATCTGTGCTTTTCCTGCTGGTTTCCCTAGCTGGCATTGTCTCAGGGCTGGCCATCTCTTTTGCATTTGGTTGGCAGTGGAAGATTTTGACACCCATGGGACATGGATGTGAGCTGGTTCCTGGGACATGGTCAGAGCCTGAAGTTCCTCTTTAGAGATGCCATCCTTCTTGGGGAGGAAGAGTCCAACACCAATGAGATCTCAAGAATCACAGTATCACAGAATATTCAGGGCTGGAAGGGACCCACAAGGATCATCAACTCCTGCCTTGCACAGGACACCTCAACAACCCACCCTGTGCCTGAGAGCATTGGCCAAATACTCCCTGAGCTCTGTCAGGCTTGAGGCTGTGGCCACTGCCCTGGGGAGCTGTTCAGTGCCCAAACACCTCTGGGAGAAGAATCTTTGCCTAATATCTATCCTAACCCTCCCCTGACACATCTCCAGCCATTCCCTGTGTCCTGTCCCTGTCCCAGAGAGCAGAGCTCAGAGCTGCCCCTGCACTGCCCCTTGGGAGGAAGTTGTATACAATGATGAGTCTCCCCTCAGTCTCCTCTTCTCCAGCTGAACACACCAAGTGACCTCAGCCACTCCTTGCATGGCCCTTCAAGGCCCTTCCTCACCTTCCTTGCCCTATCCTAGTTGTTGCATCATCCAGTCCACCTCCAGGCAATGCACAGCACACCCCACCCCATCCTACATGAAGAAGCCAAGGCAAATCAAGGCTGGGTCATCTTCATCTTCTCAACACACTTAGGACAGGCTAATGAAGAGAACTCCCATGGTATCACTAGTGGCAGAGACTTCCACTCCTATCATTTCTCCACCAGCACATGAGTCCAGCCCTTTTCCAACTCCCCTGGCTGTGGCTGCTGGGCTTGTCCCAATGCCCATGGTGGGCTTGAAATGCTCAAGGGAAGCAGTGAGAGCCTTCTCCTGAAGAAAAAGCCTTGCTAACCTGGACAGCTGCAGAGTATTTATAGCTCCTCCTGCCACAACCCTGCCAAAGGTGAGTGATGGTCACTTTCCCTGGCTGACTGGAGTTATTTTTGCTTTAAGAGGTCAGTTTTTCATTCCCTGAGCAGGGAGGGGGAGCAGGGAGGGCCCTGTTGCAGCTCTTGTCCATGCAGTTGATTTGAGTGGCAGGGCTGAGACTGAAATACCCACAGTAGATAGCACAGGTCACCCTGAGCCCCTGACACCCCTGTTTGCCACCAGCTTAATGTCCTGAGTGTTTGGATAAAGGAACTGCCAGACAAATGGGTTTTGTGCTATAAATTTCTGCTTGCTGCAAACACTTGTCCTTTGCTTGTGTCTCATAAAAACATACAATCTTTGCTCTCTTGCCCTAAGCATCAATAAAACCAGAGAGAAAGGCTGAAGACATAACTGTGCCTCTGTTCTGGTTGGATTTTTTTACCTAGATTTAATGTCTTGCAAATGAGTTTCATGTTCAGAGTGAAGTGAACAACACCCTGGACTTGTGCCTGACTATAGAGTACAATTATGTATGTTATATATACATACAGTAATATACTCTTTAGCAGCTGTGGAGAAGGGGATGGCTCTGTCCACAGGAAGGAGAAGGTTTTGGGGGCTGCTCTATGATGGCAAGAAAATACCCAGAGTTGACAGTGAGTGGAGATCCCTTATTTCAGCAAGGTACTACTGACAATATCTGATGTGTCCTCCCTAGAAGCCATTCCCAAATCTCATTTGTGCTCATCTTGGCTTCATTCCTACCTATAATTAAAGGCACTTTGATGGGGTGGCTGAAATGTACATTAAATATAAAGAATTAGTTGAAGTGCTGTTTGAATAGATGAATTAAGGAAGTTGAATTGCTTTTTAAGGTGCAATTCATCTCATCCCAAGGTAGCACCTAAATGAAACTCCAGGATTTACACCCAAAAACATCTTCTTCACTAATGAGAGGTGAGCAGAGGGTGAGTGACTCACACAGAGATATTCCTGCACAGCTCTCCCTCATTGGACCCATGCCACGAGGCCTTAGCACTTCTGCTTTTGAGCCCTGGAGGGATCTTGGTGTTTGGGAATTTGGAATGCTGAGGGCACAAGTGGGTCATGTCCAGCCTGGAGAGCTGCAGGGACACAACCTGCTCCCAGCCTGCCTTTCCTGGGAGAAATGCTTCTGTTAGAGATGCCATGAGCCAGAACTGTCCCCATCTTCTGGGACCTGAAGCAAAACTTTGCCCTGTTGTTGACAGCATTGAGTTGATCTTTATTCCCTGCTGGATTTGTGCATGTGTACTTCCAACACCATCTAAAACAGGATCTGTTTTGTTTCTAGGTTCTGCCTAGCACCAGCAGTGCCAACATCCCACGAGAAAAGCTGTGCCTGCTGCACTTTTGGAAGCTCCAAAATGAGGTGTTGAGCCTTGAGGTATTAGACCTCCTTTTTTTCCAGGTGATTTGGCTAGTTCCCCCAAGCTGTGAGGCTGAGAGCAGTCTGCATGGCTCTGGCTGTGGTGACAGCTGCCTCATGTCTGCACTCAGTCAGCACATCAGAGGGCACTAACAGCTCCAGCCATGTAAGGAAGCATCACTCCCTCCTTCTCTGTCTTTTTGAGTGAGGGGCCCAAAGCTGAGCACAGCACTGAACTGGGACCTCCCCAGTGGTTTTGTACTGCCCTAGTGCTGCTGCCACACTGCTCTGGAGCCAGGCCACGATGCCCTTGGCCTTCTTTGCCACCTGTGCACACTGTTGGCTCCCACTGAGCTGTGCCACCTGCACTGCCAAGTCCCTTAGTGACCAACATCTCTGTCCCCACTCCTTCCCCAGCCTGGAGCTGCTTGGGGTTGTTGTGTGCCATGGGCAGGACCAGCACTGAGCCTTAGTGACCCTCATGCAGTTGTGCTCAGCCCCATGATCAAGTCTGTTCAGGTCTCTCTGTAGAGCTTTCCTACCCTCAGACAGATCCACACTCACTCCCAACTTAGTGTCCTCTGCAAACTTACTGAGGGAGCACTCAATCCCCACGTCCAGATCAGCAATAAAGATGTGTTCATCTTTTTTTTGTTTTAAAGGTGCTTCGGTGTCTCTGCCTGGTGCCCTTGTAGAGGCTTATTTGGCCCTTCAGTATCCGAATTTCCACCCAAATGGCCTGTGGGAGTGGCATTGCTGTGGGTGGGAAAGCACAGTGGCTGTCCCAGGGTGATGTGGTCTCAGTAGGTATCTCCCTGGATTTCCCTGCACTGAAGATAATTATCTTTTTTTTGTTTTAAAGGTGCTTCGGTGTCTCTGCCTGGTGCCCTTGTAGAGGCTTATTTGGCCCTTCAGTATCCGAATTTCCACCCAAATGGCCTGTGGGAGTGGCATTGCTGTGGGTGGGAAAGCACAGTGGCTGTCCCAGGGTGATGTGGTCTCAGTAGGTATCTCCCTGGATTTCCCTGCACTGAAGATAATTTCATATCAGGATGGGTTGGTTTAGGTTAGAAGGAACATTAGAGATATCTTGTTTCACCCCCTGCCATGGGCAAGGACACCTCCCACTAGCCCAGGATGCTCCAACCCCATCCAACCTGGCCTGGAACACTTCCAGGGATGGGGCAGCTGCAGCTGCTCTGGACAACTCTGTTTAGTTGTTCCAACCAGCAATGCTTCAGAGCAGCACAAGTTCCTCTGGACAAGATAATCCTTCTCCTGAGGTGGCTTAAAATGGGGAATGTTCTTGCCTGTGCAAAATCCAGTGTAGAAGCTGAGGTGGTGACTGATCCCATTGCTGATCACTTGATGGTCTTTGGACCATGCTGAGAGGATGCAAATGTTTCTCTTCCTCTGGCTACCCCTGAGTCCTGCTTAGAACTTAACCTTGCAGACACTCCCATGTGTTGAGATGAGCTGTCCTTGGTGAACCTGTTCCACACAAGTCCTGACAGTTCAGAACAAGAGCTGCACAGGACAGTGAGTGTAGATGCACCATCTCTGCTCCTTGCTGGTATTACAGTGCAGAGAGAGGACTCATCCCAGCTGGTCCCTCACAGCCCAGGGCAGAAAACCTTTTTCTGTTCATGGAAATACAACAGAAAACTGGAGGAGCCTAACACAGCTTGCTAGGGTAGGACCCAGTGCCATAAAGTCTTTCCTTAACAGGCTGAGGAAAATATGACTATTTCTGTAGGTAAATTCAGATTTGTCTCAGACACCTCAGCATGGGTTGCACATCCCTCTCCTGGCCACCACCAGAGAAAGGAGGGTCATGGGGCAAAGCCCAACTACTTCATTGTCCTGGTGAAACAGAATCAGCTTTGCTTAGACCACATGGCAGAAGGACAACAGCACCTTTTGAGCTCTCTCAGTGTGTCATTGCTACCTACTCTAACTCCACTCACCTCCATGCATCTTTGCCCATGCCACGTCATGGATCAAAGTGAGTTTTTCAGACAAAGCAGAAAGAGAAGAATTGTACAGAAACACATGAACTTTCTCCCTCACCTTCAAACTCTGTTTGGCAGTTGCCAGAGTTTTCATTTAGACTCTCCTCTTCGTTGATGATGATGTTCTCAATGTCCTTCATCGTTAGGTGGTCACGGAAGGCATGGTACAGGATGTGCTTCAGCTCCTCCAGTGTTATCCTCTGCATGTCAAACTGTGGGAAGAGGACTCAGTTAGACCCAGAAACACTCAGAAGAAGACAGGCATGAGAGCATGCCACAGTTCCCTACTCATGTTTTATCAACCTCGTGTCAACACCTCTGTGTTTCTTTGCAGATTCGGCTCTTGGGTTCATTTAACTCTGTGAATGTTGCAAATGGATGTTGACAGAGCTTCTGGCAGCTTGGTGCTGGGAGAGCAGCAGAGAAACACAGCCCTAGGTCAGGGATGGTCTTCCAGGCAATCCAGTATCAGTACTGCCCATCCCAACACAGACCAAACCTGAGGGATTCCTTGGGTAGCTCTTACACCTTATCATGAGCCACAACCTGTTTCTGCCCCTTTTTTTCCCTTCCTAACTCTCCAGTTGTGCCTTTATGACATGCAGAAGCAGAGGACATTCCCCTCTGAGCTGAATTCTGCTGCACATCCTGTAGGTAAATGTTGTTCTTACCCAAATCAAATATTAAAACCAGAATATTCCTGCAGAATACATAGAACTCAACCTTTGGCAGCAGAAGGACTTTACACATTGTTTGTGCTGTTAATATCTGCTAATGGTACAGCAGAGAACACATTGACACTGGCTGGGGGCAGTGCCAGGTGAGGAGATGAGACTCTCTGAGCCATCAGTGCAGGCAGTAAAGAGGGATGGAAATGCTGATGAATCTTCCCCTGATACTCCTCTGAAAGCATCTTGAACTCTCAGGCCTTGCAGCCCAAAATGGGCTGACCCAGAGCAATCAGTGAGCACCAGGGCTTGTACCCTCTCCTCTGAACCTTCAAGACCTTCAGAAACCTCCAAGAACCCTCAGAAAGGCCAAACACCTCTGGCTTAATGCTGCAGTGGAGGAATGATGATGCCAATTTATACGTACTGTGCAACTGGGAGGGTGATGCTACAGCAAGAAATTCCCATTCCTTTCCCCCAGCCTGACAGGACAGGACACAGGACAAAGGGGAATAGCTTCCCACTGCCAGAGGGTTAGATGGGATATTGGGAAGGCATTGTGCCCTGTGAGGGTGCTGAGGCACTGGCACAGGTTGCCCAGAGCAGCTGTGGCTGCTCCATCCCTGGCAGTGTCCAAGGCCATGTGCTGCCAGGCTGCTCTGCTGCTGTGAGGTGACCACTAGGATGAGATTCTGGCTTTGCTATATGGATGGACTCAGGCAGATGCTGGGGTTCCATTCCAGGTTTGAGTTTCCCCTGAGAAAGACTCTAAGGCACTTCAGGATTGGGTATTAGGTGAGAAATCCTTGCTTTTACCTCCGTGGCACTGGGGGCAATCAACACTGCAGGAAGCTAACCAGGAGGGCTGCAAACCCTGGGCAGCTTCAAACCTCCACTACCATACTTCCTGCACTGCTGGGAGGTAACTATATGCCATAACCCCCATTTCCACCTCTCTAGGTGCCAGGAGAAATGCTTTTCGTCATCATCCAGGTTGTGCAGTACTCAGCTGCTTGGCTTTACTTGCTCCTTCCACATCAAAGGTACTAGAAAAGGGCTGGAGAGATTTCCTCATGCACAACAAAGCAGGATGGAAATTGGTGACTAAATCCCAGAGGGGATTTGCAATCCATCTTTGAACTGTGCAACAAGGAGCCACTGGTGATGGCTGTGCTCTCGTTATTTTTAGCTGGGTGGTGTGAACACTGAGTCCCTGAGGGACAGGGACAGCAGCAGAACACCAAAGCCACCAGGTTTGCTTCTCAGAGAAATGCTTTGCAGCTGAGCAAGGACAGGAGCATTGTCTTTTGCCCCTTTTGAGCCACTTGTCTGCATGTATCTGCACCAGGGCTTGGATTTGTTGCAGGGAAGAAGTAAATAGAAGGAGAGGAGAGGAGAG